TCGGAAAGCTCGGTGTCAGAGTCGGCCTGGTTTGCAGAGAAGACCTCCCATCTCTGGGAACGTCCAGGAGAAGCAGCTGGCAGCTTCACTCTCCAAACCGGCTTCATCAGCTCAGAGGAAGAAGTCCTTATGTGCTCCATTTCCCCTTCTGCTGCTCTTCGTCTTCTTTCTGTTGCTTCATGATCAACTGTTTGGCATTTTCTCCATCTTGCTTGGCCTGGCATCGCTCTGAAGTTATACGTCGACGCCTCTTCTGCTGTCTGCCTTCTTTTAAAGGGAATTTGGATTCCATGTGATATTTGTAAGGCATCCCAGCTCTCTGTGTAGTAATTTGGCTTCAGTTTTGTTGCTTGTTGGTTGCCCATCCTCATAAAGGCCTGGCACTCGGGGCAGGAGTTTACCCCGTAGTCCTCCAACGATTCATCTAAGGCATCTAGGGTTTCTCTGAAGTCTGCGAGGCTGAATTTATCTGCCTGATTGTGCTTTACTGGTTCAGCTGAACCCTCCTCTTCACGCTGAGAGGTTGGCATTTGTTGGGTGCATGAATGAGCATCAGAGACTGTAGATGAACTCTGACAGATCTTCTCTTTTAGAAGTTTGTAAAAGCTTAAGGAAGAATATGTGCTCTCCATGCTGGTGTTTGTAGGTGACGATTGTTAGACCTGAAATAAGAAATAAGACTTATGTTTTTGCACTTTTTTAGCTGTCAATTTAGTTTCTTTTTACTGCAAAAAAAAAGCAAAATCTTACCAAATATTTTTGGTCTAGTTTCAAGTGCAAATATCTTAGGCTGCGTTCACACTGCAGCCTGAAGTGACCCAATTCAGATTTATTTTGTTTTAATGTGACCTGGATCTGATCTGTTCATGACAGTCTGAACAACAGAAGATTTATTTTGAATGTGACCCAAGACACTTGGATATCCCATACTATCTGATCTTGTCGCATTCATCCGACCTGAAAGTCATCGATACTCGGCAAACGTCACTATTCTGCGTCCTGATACGCGGAAACGGGAAGAAAACAACCATGGCGGACGATAGTGAGGATTAGGTTGTTAATATGCTGACTTCGTTGGATAACAACTTTAAAATTGTACGCTATGCTCCACCGTTAGCTTTCGTGTTTACTTCTGCAAACACTGAGCACTGCTTCTTCTTCTTTATGGCGGTTGGAAAAACACTCTCTATGTGTGACGTTATTGCGCCCTCTACTGCGCATGCGGGTCACTTTCAGTTCGATTGCAATTTACACTGAATTGCAATTCAGTGTGTGATGTGAACACACGTCACTTGTGTTCACATCACACAAGAGATGTGGAATGTGAACAACCAAAAAGAAAACAAGAACAAATCAGATTAAACAAAAACTCGGAATTGGGTCACTTCAGGTTGCAATGTGAACGTGTAGTTCACTTGAAATAAAAAAACAAAACTACCTTAAAAGTAACCTTGTAGCCAGTTTGTCTTAATTAAATGAGTTCTTTATATTGATGAACTAGTGCATCTGCAGATTAATGCTCTTACAAGACATTTTCCTCATGTTTTAAGTTAATTTATCTGCCGATAGAACTAGTATTTTTTCATCAATAATAAGGAATTATTGACTTTAAACAAGTGTGTACATCTTGCTGAACAGTTTATTTTCAGTTAGTTTGTCTTATTCCAAGATATTTGCACTAGAAACTAGACCAAACCAAAGATATCTGGTAAGATTTTGTTTTTGCAATGCAAGAGTAAAAAGTTGCAAGGCTCCCAGTCTTGGTTGTCCAGGTTCTTATTAAATCAAACTGCACAATACCAGTGTAGTTACCCTGAATCACCAGTTTACAAAGAAGCTTCTCCATAACTCATTTACAAAATTATTTAAATAATAACCTTTGGACTTACCTTCAGCCAAATAGCATCCCTACTTGCAGAAGCAGGTCACTCCTTTGTTGTACCTGCTGTGATGCTCAGGTGACCGAGGACGTGTGCCCACCTTCTGTTGGGAAGCTTTCGGCCAATCACCAACTCAGGATGTAAACTCAAACATCTCCCATTGGTTCGTCTCCCAAAGCTCACTAGAAGCTAATCTCCCCAAAGGGGAGAAAAGAAACAGACGGAGGGGATTTGCTCTAATTAGTGTAATCTTTTGGACTTGAATCAGTGCCTTAGTAATAAGTCGGTCAATGTCTATTCCACCAGAAGCCATAAAATTAATCTTACAGAAATATTCTTTTTTTAGGAGCAAACTTTGAGAAAAGAATGTCGGCTAACGTTTTGGCTGTAAGTCACATCTGTTTGGCTGAAGTTCACTGACCATTGGCTCTATTAAGGTCAGCTGTGCACCATGCTGTGCTGCACGGAAAGCTAATCTGACCACAGACCAGCTGCCTCAGCGCGATCGCTGTCATTTAAACCAAACAAACAACTGTTCATGTGTCCTAATGCAACAACCAAAACGTCAGAGGCTGCAAGAGGAGAAAATGGAGGATTTAGATGAAAAGAAATGCGGTAACACTTTTGACATTAACCAAGAAATCATTACTGATATAAATTTGTTATAAAAGAATTACTGATTGCACTTTAAAAATCAGGTAACTTTATGTTATTAAAGGTAAAGTTTAAACAGTAATGATTTCCTGGTTAATGTCAAGTTGTCATAACAAAGACATTTTGAATAATGTCAACTTTGTATTAAAAGTGTCATAATTTACCGAATGACGCTTTATGACAACAGTCATAAATATTCATGAAGGCTTATTCATGTTCATCACAGATGTTATGTCATGTTTATGACAGTGTCATGACAGTGTTATTTCACCCCTTTCAAATAAAGTGTTACCAATAAATGCTAAAAACCGCTTTAGAAATGTTAATGTTTTCACAAATCTTCTATCACTTGGATCAATTCGGACACAAGTAACTTTAGATAAATATGAACTGAAAATATAAACATAACTTTTTGCTTCATTTTTTGTGAAGCTATAAAAGCACAGATTAATTCTACTTTCATGAAAACACTCAACAGTCCATGGATCATAAGATGTTTATTTTCACCTGAAATGCGCCGCGCGGCCGCTAGGTGGCAGTGACGTATAGACAGAAACATGATTTGAAGGCCGTTTCCTTTTCCAGTCACCTGACTGATGACTGGCGCCTACAGGACGATAATTACTATATTTTCATGTTTTAGTTAATATTATGTATTATTATGATGATACAAAATACTATGTATTATGTATGGTCAAGAAATTTATATATTTTGTTTTGTCTTTTTCTACATGTGTCCACAACAGGAATGTCTGTAGGGTTAAAATAAATCCAAATCCAAGGAAAGTGGCCACAGTCAGATGTTTCTAATGCAGCAAAATAACAATTTATGTGCGACTGAATGTAGATTTAACATAAAACGGACCAGAAAAATATACATCTCCAAAGCAGACACTCAGTAAATCTTCATGTCTTTTTCAGAATCGGAGCGTCATGTTTGATAAAATAAAATTATTTAAATATTTGACTACATTTGAGCAACAGAAAGTAATCATTTAGTTGTCTGCATTCCTCATGGTGGCATTTCCAGCTCTGCAGTCACTAAAAACAACCAACATATTTATTAAATGTGAATGTAACATGCCTTTTAGATGAATTACTGCAGCAATTAATGCATTGTAGCTGCTGATAATTCAATAAAACTGGTTTCAAAAGCAGATCTAATGTTGAAGCATCTTCCTCTTGACAAATACTTAGCAGATTCTCTGTGGGGTTTCATTGAGGAGCGTTAACAGAACTATTAATAAATAAAATATTACGGTCATACAAACAGGCATTGCTACTTCTGGAAGTCTGAGCTTGTCAACAAAGCTAAAGATGAAAAGTTCTAAAGTTAATTGGTTCACGGTTGCAGTGACTTTCAGCTTGATATGGATCAACAGTATTGCTATCTGCGCCTTTTTCCTTTCACTTAACTCTCAATTAATGTAATGGCATTCTCTCAAAGTCCAACTTTTAGATGTTTATTCTTCCTCTATATGCTATCAGTGATTTTCTGCTGGACAACCAGATAACCAGTTGTTCTCACGAGTGATTAGCCGAATCAGAAGAAAGTAGAGTTCTCAAAAGTTGTACTCTGTTAAGACTAGTACTCCTTAAAGAAACGACTCAAGTAAAAGTAAAAAAAGTATCTGATGTAATATTTACAAATGACGTAATCAGACAGACTGAAAACGTAAAGCTACGCTGAAATTCTGGTACTTTAAAATAACAGATTCAGGCAACTCTTTTACAAATCATTAAAAACTATTAAACTAAGGCAAATAGAACCGGGTGAAGTATTTCCGGTGCCAAATGGCACACAGCAGGGTCAGCCGGTAGAAAATATTAGAAAAACAAAGCTTGTGAACAAACAGGAAGTCTCACTTCAACATAAACTGTAGGTGTGCCTGTGTGTCATTTTTTTTCTATTCAAGAGTAGCGATACTTTATAAAAATATTACTAATGTAAAAATAAAACTGCTCCTGTAAGTACATTTCGAAATATCTAAATATGATCAACAACCGGATGTTGCTACTGGCGGAAGCGACGAACAAGACGACAGGAAGTGGTAGGAGGAAGTGTTTTTAATGACCTGCGTGAACAAACTTAATCACGCGAGATTTTTTTCGCGACTCTTATTTATTGGAAACATTAGCAGGAATATTGACAAAGTTTAGCGCACATTTGTAATGGAATTACTGATATAAACCTTTTTAATTATGTTCTAATTGACTAGGATGCACCTGTTAACACGTTTCCCTGCAAACCCTCTATTCATAACTTCACCCGCTGCTGCTACTCAACAGAATGCGTCATGGTTTGATAAAAAAGCTGCAAACATTTAATCACAGTAACCATCATCAGCTCCGGCAGCAGCAGCAGCATCACCCTCCCTCTGTAACTCGTCCCCTGCTTCCCCGGCTCGCACTGCTCCGCACTGCTGCTGGGTGCAGCGAGGAAGAGGAGGGGGTATAAGGTTCGTGGAGGAGTGAGGGGTTGTAAAAGGAGAGGAGGGGGGCTCGCTCGGGCTGCCCTATATGGCTGTGGATGAGTTCTATGCTAATATCGGCTTGAAAGGCTCAGCTTGCGTTTCTGCCGGCAGTCAGCGGTGGCTTCCAGAGTCTGAGGAGGCTCCTTCACAGCCATGGCTGAGGGCGGAGAAGGGGAGGATGAGATCCAGTTCTTGAGAACTGTAAGTAAAATAATAATAAAAGGGAGAGAGAAATAATTAATATTTCATCGTTTCAAGCAGACTGAATCGTTTCCGAGTCCCATCAACACTACAAATCATCCAAAGTGTATTTCTGCGGAAGTTCTTGCATTGCATCGTCAGTGTCGCTGGTGCGTCTGCACAATTGATGAGTGTGGAAGTTGCCGCAGGTTGCACGCTGCGCCCCCGCGGTCACGGCGCACCTGTCGGCAGCGCTCAGGCTGTGGGGACGATCCAATCCGCAGGTGCAAGGGCGAAATAATTAATCTGATCGCGTTAAAATCCACGACCAGGTGGATCGAGTAATACGTCAGGTTTATCTCCGCTGCTTTGACTTTTTATGGACGCATTCACCTCCTCGGGGAGAAGAGTTTCAGACCTAAGTTGTCCTTACACGCAAACCGCCCTCCGCGGTGACTATTTTAGTTGTTTGGCGCAGATTGATTACAGTGTCCCTCTCTGTGCGGTATTGTAAATGATATGACAGCTTGTGTGTTGGTGTGGTGGGAACAGATATAGTGGTGCCCTGACAGAGCACATATTATTCTCGCTTGCTCCAGAAAACGTTATTATTTTGGTGCTGCATGAAGAGCGATATTGTCAGGAGTCAGCAGATAGTCTTGATATTTAGTTGGAAATCATGTGCATTTAGTCCAATTTTCATATCTCAGATCCAAAGTGTGCACTAATTTGCTTTTTGGTTTATTAAAATGATGCAGTACAAATGCTCACACTATCTAGATCTTTAAGTTGAGCTTCATTGAAGCTATTTCTATAAAACTGTATTAATTACAAGCACCTGAAACACCCAAAGTGACAAAAACGATTAATTGAACAACCATACAAATCTAGGAAGTTGTAGCTAATTTTTCCTAAACTGTTCAATCAATTTGAAAATAAAAGTGATTGATTTTTTTCATACCTAAAAATACACGAATTTTTAATCATTTGGAGACTTTGTTTTGCATACAAGTCATAAAAATGCCAAATCTTAAAGCATTTTTGGTCACATTGGGAAATAAAGCTCAACTTAAATAAACGGTTGTTGCTACCAAAATGTTACCATGAAGAAAAATAATTTAATTTTCTTTCTGCAGTAGCTAAGATACGCTAAGATGCTAATTACCTTAGTCACATACTGATTGTTACTGTGAAAGGACCAATATTATGATTGGAAAGTATCTTGGTCATATCAGTTGTTGAGGCATTTCCCCAGAATTTGTGGTTTGTTTTTGCGACGCTGCTTGAATCTTCAGATCAGAAAATAAATTTCACTCTTTGTTCAACTCAGTTTTTCTGTGCTCTTTTGCAGTTGTACCAATTTTCTTGATGTTCCTTGTCATTCAAGCAGTTGATTTACCTTTGCTGAAGTGTACCAGTTACTTGAAAATAGGATTTGAAGGCATTGATAGTTTTTGTTTTGAATGTTTTAGATTTATTTTTAGATATTCAGTGTAGTGGCGTCAAACATTGGACCTGCCTGGTGAACACTGACAGCTTCCCAGATTGAAACAACCAATCATCAAATTGGTGATTAGAAACAGTAACATTCAGATATTTTACTGGATTGTTTTTATGTTGCCATGAAGTGTTAAGATATTCAGATTTAAACCAATAACGTGGTGTGATTTCTAGCTAAGCCAGGCTGCCATTACTTCTTTATATTCTGTTATATGAGCACTGCAACTCATATTTGCTCATATAAACATCTCAAAGAGGTGCTACTGTTACGAAATTTATATAAGTTCAACATATATGCTATGCTATGCAGATCCTTTGTCTGCGCTGATGAAGATTCACTCAGATCTACATGCTAAATGCTAGCAGTGGCTCTCTGTGGCGGGGTAGTTGACCCTTTTTCTTTATTTCTGATTCAGTCAGTTAATAGTTATTCCCACACAGACTTTGAGAAGTGAACCAGATTTCAGAGATGATCTGAAGTTAAATCAGACCAAAAAATTCATGTTTTTGGTTATTTACATAAATAATGAGAGAGATATTTTTTTGTTTTGGTGAATGTTTTTAACTCTTTAAATTCAGAACTGGACATACATTTCTTTAGCATTTCATAGTATGACCTTTTAACTGGATGACTTGGGTTACACCAAGTCATAGTTCTTGGAATAGTTTGTGGCAATTTTGGCCGATTCCTTCTTGAAACTGAATCCTAGATAACATCTTGAGATGTTGCTTCAGTATTTGCACATTAACATTATTTTTTGTGAAGTGCATAAATCCCCTTGGACTCTGTACTTCACAGTTCAGATGGTGCTCTCAGGTTTACAAGCTTCCCCCTTTTTCTTTCAAATCTAACAACCAAAATTAATGTTATATAAGCAAAAACTGTTTGAGGTGTTGCCATTTGTGCCTCCATTGGCTCCATACATTTGGGGTTGCATCCTGAACAACAACACACGCTTCATTTGTGTGACTTACGAATAGGAATGTGCGATATATATGATAGAGAGCTGTAGTCGAACTGCGGTAATGCCTGTTGCATTAAAAGTGTCATTATTTACCAAATGTTTACGACAACAGTCATAAACATTCATGAAGACTGATTCATAACTGGTGTTATGTCATGTTTATGACAGTGTCACGTTAGCTTTGTGTACACCCCTTCAAATAAAGTGTTACCAAAAGTTTTTGACAATTTTTGAGAAAAATCTGCACTAAACTCCCAATTATGTATTAGTGCTAAAGGTGTGGGGATTTGTTGATTTCCATGATAATTCTCAAGAAACTGGAGGGACTGATTGATACAATTTGGCAGTAAACAGATAAAAACTGCATTGATTTGACTGATAACAATATTTAAGCTCACTTAGTTTTTAGTCTAAAATCTAGAGGGCCACATAAAAAGCTGTGGCGGGCCGGATTTGGCCCACGCGCCTCGAGTTTGACACATGTGCTGTAAGCAGCCTGAAGGCCGGGCTGAGCTGTCGGAAGCAGATTGGGACCTTGTTCTTAACAGCTCCTACTATTTGTGATGCCAGTGATATGCTGACCTACGCCTCTCAGATTCTACTGTCACACTGGCATCCTGCTTATCTGATGACAACAGCGATTTGAGAGCGGCGGAGTCAGAGGGGGAGGGCGGTCTTTCCCTGAGCTTCTTAGAGCTGGGAGAAATGGGATTTTACAGGAAGTCCTGAAAGAAGAATGCTCTAGAAACCAACTAGTCACAGTTGTTTTGTTTACAGCTGTGGAGACAATTTCAATCGGTTTTACCAGGTAAAAACAAGGTTGGATTTGTAAATATTTAGTTGTTTTTCTTCTGACAGTAAATTTCTAAAAAACTGATGCCAAGCCAAAGCTGCTAAATTCACCATCTGAGATGTTTATCAGAACTATCTGTATTTTATCATTCTTTTATCTTCGACAAGAATAAAAAACCAAAAACGAGAATAGAGTCTGTGTCTGAACTGGTTCAGATGTTGATCCAGATCCAGACTGAATCCCAAACGTCTAAGTTGGGTCATGCCACAGCTCTTCTTTTGAGTAATACCGCCAACCACAAGAGGAACAAACAAACAGAACTTTCTTCGCCATCTAATCTAAACCCGTTTAGTCACAGGCTTGTTTCTTTTTGGAAGATTTAAAAGTTAAAATGTAACACAGTTTAATTCCTGACGCTTTTGGCATCAAGATAATTAAACTGACTGGAGAAAACAGTTGAGAAAAAATATAAAAATACATTTCAACTAGTGAAATATTTATAATCTTTTTTTGTATTCTGCAAAAGTCACACGCCAGAAAAACCTGACTCATGTTCTCCTACTCAGCCAAGTTGAGTTTATTTTTTTTTTTGTACCAATACATAAGACGACTGAAAGTCCTTTTTGCCTGCAGCAGGGCAGGTGAGTTGCACCTTTTCTCAAACGCAGGTGATTGACGCTCGTATGGCGGCGGCAGCAGCTTCTCTGCTGGGCTTATTTGGAGTTTATGTTGTTCTGGAAGCCTTGTGCATACCAAGCCGGAGACTCTGGGGGTTTAAATTTAGCCTTTTTTAAGACGATGCTTCCCAAGCACATACAGCTCTGCTGGCCTGGCACTAAACCACACCAAGGGGAGCTGCTTTAGCAATGATAGCACAAGACTCGAAACACTTAAACACCATTTTTATGGGGATGAAGTAGCATTTAAATGTAACCACTGAGTAATATACAAAATTTTCTGAAGCTTAGTGTGTCTGGTAATAGACAGGTTTAAAAAGTTGACAGATGTTTGGGGGATTTTAAATTAAAAGTGACAGTTGTAGGCAGGTTTAAGTGCTCTTTAACTTATAAAATGCTCCTTACAATGAAATCCATCATAGAAAATTGATGGATTTCACCCTTTGACTTATCCACTTTAAACCCACTGCATTCCTTTAAAATCTTGAAATGCTGAAAAAAATAAAGAAGTAGAACTGACTTTGACTATTTCAGGATTGGTAGTGGGTTCAAGAGATTATTTATTTTATTCTTCATGATTTATGGGACAAGAAATAAACAAAATAAATAAAAATGAGTTGGATTATAACTTGCTTAAATTATAGTGCAGTGTTTTTAATCATTATCTGCTTCAAAAATCGTTTAATAATCCAGTTATTAATAATGGCATAATTTCCTAGAAATGCTTTGCATTCCAACAATGTGTCAATAGGAGACCAAACCCACAGCATCACAGATCCTCTACCATGTTTATCAATAAACATTTGGAGTTCTTTCTATTTTATGCCACAGCCACTTGGGATGTTTATAGCTAAAAATAACTCATTTAAATTCATCTGATACATACAAATTATTCCAGTTAAGGTTCAAAGGTAAGAAAAATAGTTTTTTTTCCTCATAAACAACCAGTTTATATGTAAATAACTGGCATCTCCACTGCAAAAACAACATTTAACCAAGTATTAGTTCTGCTTACTGTAAATAAGACAAAACTAACTAAAAAGTAACAGTTCAACAAGAAATAGGAGCTTGTTTTTAATCAGTAAT